TTATCTTCATGTCTTGATATTCTATTTTCCACTTGCTATGTTCTGGTAAGACCCTTCTGTCTTTTCTGATTAACTTAATGAGCTTTTCAATTCCATTTACGTCTCCACTTGAGTTTTTCCACTATTCATATCTCTTTCATAAATTCACTTTGAAATCCTGAATTGTTTTTGTCTTTAATTCAGCAGAATATTTTTATTTTCTTCTGCTTCATTCAGGAGTTTATTCTTAGCCTCTTTGAGTTCTTTGAGGTAGTTATTTATGAATTCTTTAAACCCCTTGATTTTTTTAAAATTTCATGTAATTTTTACTTAGGTATTTCTGAATCCTCCAAGCTTACTCATTTGATGTTCAATGAAGATCATTCATATTTTTATTTAAATCAATCTCTCTATCTCTCTTTCTCTCTCTTCAGCATTAAGGAAAGTCACATGGATGAATGGATGAATTTACAATTATCTATTTATAAATGAAATTCCAACCTCCCTGCTGGAAAGGTCATGGCTGAGAAAATGAAGGAGTAAGTTTATTCTTCTGAGATACGTGTTGATGCCTCAGCTGTTTAATCCTTCCAAATTTATGTCCACTGCTATTAGAAGACATGAGGCAGGGAAATCTCTACCATTTAGTCAATAACATAACAACTGAATAAATAAATATCACAATCATACACAAATGATATATTTGCTACAAAAGTATTCCCATTCAACTGATAACAGCACAAACTAATCTGTAAAGTTCAAAGTTATGGGATTTTCCTATCATATTTCATAATTAAGATAACCAGAACATATACCTGGCATCAATTCAAAGTAAGTCCTTGAATTCACTGACCAAGATTGTCCTTTTAGGATCTGTGTCCTGCCAGTCCTCTGTACAGTTCCCATTGTGCAGCACTTCTCAAGGACCAGTGGGTTTTGGTGGGAGCATATTATCCTGTTTTTTCATATTAATTGTGTTTTTACATTGTGACTTGAGCATATGGACTTCTTTTCTTGATTGTGCATCTCATGAAATTGAAGCCTGCCTTTGTTGAATGAAAGTTTGAATCTGATTTTATTATTGTCAGAACATGGTTGATTTCTGATTATGTATGAACAGTTAGCTGGTCTGTGCTTCAGGTTCTCACTCTTATCATTAGAGGTGGGACTCCAGGTTGTCCCAGTGTATAAGGTGGGCCATCACCATAAGAACTGGAGTGTGAAGATGGCTGCAGGGTGGAGTGTTTCTAGATAGCACAACAGGCTAATACAGCACCAGAACAAAGCTTTCTAGGCCTAGTCCCAGAGGGAGCAAGATTGCAGAGTGCATTGCACTATGACCAGCTCATCACAGTGGTTTGGCACGTGCAAGCATAGGTTGGGTTCCTGGTCTACTCGAGAAAAAGATGATGAACTAATGATGCTCTTTATTCTTGTTAGTTTATTATTTCTGTTTTTATTTGAAACCATTTTTTCCAAGTTGCTTTTAGGAAAATACCACATCACTCTAATTTTATTTTGCATGAATAATTTGCAAAACACTTTTTAAATTAGATCTAATGTCTTCAGTTGGTGATGGCCTATAGCCATTGTATGGTCACCTGATTGACCTTGCATGATTTTATTATGAGGTAATGGATGTGTGATGTGTTACCAATAGTGTTCTAGGTTGGAGGATTTCACACCTAGCTATTCAACTGATTTCCATTTACAGATTACCATTCTGTGATCCCAGTACTATTTGCCATTTTAGCTGTGACATACACTCCTTACTGAAAGTCATCTGAATTGATTATTTTTTGTGGTTCCCTCAATTTTTCTTTTTCTTTTTTTTTTTGTCTTTTTGAGACAGAGTCTTCCTGTAACCCCAGCTGTCCTGGAACTCGCTATGTAGACCAGGCTGGCCTCAAACTCATAAAGATCCGCCTGCTTCTGCCTCCCAAGTGCTGGGATTAAAGGCGTGCAACACCACTCCCAGCTGTTCCCTCTATTTTAATGTATCAAAGACTTGCTCAAACTGCCATTCAACAAACCATTGGGCAGTTTTATAAAGCCAGCACTATTATTGAACCCTGTAATCTACACTCTAAGAGACTTATAGATGAAAAATGATCTTTGGAAGAAAAATTATATAAGGAGTCAATATATGAGCCATTCATTATTTGAATTTAGGACCAGTCTCTTTAGGGCCTAAAAATCTTCCTTATTCTGTCATTAAAAACCTTCAAAGCATTTATGGTAATTATAATAAAATTGTGAGTACTCACACTTTGTACTTTATCAGCAGTTAAGCATACACATTAAGGGCTAGCAAGATGGCTCAGTGGCTGTGTTTACCACCAGGTCTGGCAAACAGGGTTTGATACCAGCAGCCACATACTGGAAGGATAGAACTTATTGTGCACTCTGACCTCCACCTACATTCTATGACATGTATAAACACACACAGCACACACATACACCACAAACTAACAAAATAAGTACATGTGAAAACAAATTTTAAAAGTAGTACACATTAACTAGGCATATTACCACACAGCTTTAATACCAGCACTAAGGAGGCAGAGGCAGGTAGACCTCTATGAGATTGATCTATAGAGCAAGTTTCTGGCCAGCTGGCTATAAGGAAACTGTCTCAAATAACAACAAACAAAAACAAATGAGCCCCAACTAAACCCAAGAGTACACAATAAAATTGAAAGCCAGATTTCTCTGTTGAATGAAGTGACTGATAGACCAGCCCCCTAACCAAAAAGAAAAGTCAGATAAGATGGAATAGAAGGAGAGCAATCTTTACTTTTAAAGTGCTCTGGGAGCTATGGGAGCCATTAAGAAAATAAACAGGGGGCTGGAGAGATGGCTCAGTGATTAAGAACAGTGGCTGTTCTTGCAGAAGACCCAGGTTCAAATACCAGCACCCACATGGTAGCTAACAACTGTCTGTAACTCCAGTGCCAAGGGATCCGACAGCTTCTTCTGTCCTCTGCAGGCATTGCACGACACGGGTGCACTTACCTACATGCAGGCAATACATGCCTACACATAAAATAAAAATATATAAAATATTTTAAAAAGAGAAAATAAATAAGATGAAAGGTGATAGACTCAGAAATAAACTGAGCTGCAAGACCTAATTCACATGAGAACTTATGGGGTATGTGTGCTGACTGGCAGCTGAGGATTCAAAGCCATTTCCAGAAGAGAAAGGAATGACCACACCTTGGCTGGAGATCTGGGACCCTCTCAATGACACTTTAATTTGTTCTCTAGCTTATATGCAAAATACTGATACCACATGTGGTAACCAGGAAAGAATTATCTTCATTTTGGAATATTTTACTGTGTAATTTTATGTGTCTTTTCTTCTTGTAGCATGATTGGGAGGTTTACAACATTATTTCATTAGTGGAGATTT